GGATGGAACTTGGAAGCTTGCGCTTGTGAGGCAGGCGGCAGAACCACTGAGCTAAATCCCCAGCCGCTTGGACTTTTTCTCATACCAAACAGAAAGTAGGATTTCTACCTGTAAGAAAACAGTGAGAAAAGACTTCCAGGGCTGAGGATTTTGCTTAGTGGTGCTTCGCCTGCCTTGCAAGCCCAACATCCTGAGTTCGATCCCCAGTACCAAAAAAAGAAAGAAAGAAAAAAAAGGAAAGACTTCCAAATCTGGCAGCAGTCTCTAACAGTATGAAGACAGTTCCAAAGTAACTGTTAGGAACTAGTTCTCTCTCCTCAGCCAACCAGTTCTTGGCCATCTACTCTCTGTCTCACTAGTTAACAGACATCTGTGGCATCTGGGAATCATAGTTAAAGAAAGAATGCAGGTTTCAAACCCTATTTCAAAATTCCCCTTTCCTTAATTGTTTTCGTATTTAGACTCCAAATGCAGTTTCTGTAGGTCAGTCTTAGCAATGGTGCCTATGAAAATCAGATCCACAGATGGCTTAAAAATACAGACTTCCAAGCCTACTGAAACCAAATCTAGAAGAGAAAGACCTGGAGTCCTGAAATTTCCCCCCAGAATTCCTTCTCTACTCTTCAGCTACTGAGCCAGCTCCCACCCATTGTGTTAAAGGCAGCCCTGGCTCCTGACAGAAACCTGCTCAGGTCCACATGCTGCCATGCCACAAGCTTTCTGTGACACATGCCCACCTACACAGTGAACTATTAGAAGGAGGTGCACAAAGTCACCATCATGTTCTCCATACCCAGCACAGCATCAGGGCACGGTATCCAACAAATGTTTTCTAAACCAACAATATCAAGTCCCTACTACCACTGGAAACACCACCTCCTTCACAATTTCCTCTGCTGGATGATGTGACCACCATGGCAGAGTTACTGAGCTGATATTGCAGGAAGAGGACTTCAGTGGAAGGAGTCAGAGAGAGGAGGGAAGAATTTCTGAAATGGGAATGACATATTCAAAGACACTGGGGTATTAAAAACCAGTCACAATGGAAGAATGAGAAATAATTCAATTTTACTGAAACAGGTAATTTGTAGGCTATAGGACTGCATAAAGGATCAATCCCCAAAAGGCCTAGAATGACAATGCTAAAGAACTTTAATGTTAGCCAGGGTGGTGGAGCATTCTGGTAATCCCAGCACTTGAGAGGCTGAGGCAGGAGAATTGCTGTAAATTCAAGGTAAGCCTGGGCTACATAGTGAGTTCAAGGCCAGCCTGGACCACATGGTAGAAGCCTGTCTCAAAAAACCAAAAGAAAATTTAACTTTTTCCTAGAAGTTGTATAGTACTCAGTGGGGAGCAGAGCAGCAAATAGACTTGCATTACACAGAGGTTGCCCTAGGTACTATAGAATAGACTGAAGAGGGAACAGGACCAAGATAAGCAGCTTTGGGAGGCCACTGTGATAACCCAGGAAGTGAGCAGAAGGGGTGAACCAAGCCAGCGCGCACAGAGAAAAAGTCCTAAAGTACATTACGGAAATGGAAATTCTAATTACTTAGGCACTAACGAGAACAAGAGGAATCTGCGTCTGTCTCAGCACATGTGTGAAGGGCAGTACCATTTATGAAGCAGGGAATAAGGGAGATGAGGCAGGGTTAGGGGCACCAACAGGTGGTGCTGGCATGGCACAGACTCAGTGTCCAGAGTCCAAGGTGGACGCAGGATGTAGGAGAGCAACAGACACGAGGCATGCACGAATGTGTCAGTAGCTAGGGACGCCCCAACTGAGGGGAGATGACAATGGAACCTCTGGAAGATATGGTCATGAACAATGGAGGGAGGCAGGAAGAGCCCCAAAGAAGTAAAGGGGAACTGAAGAAAAGTCCTAAAAACAGGTAAGCAGCCACAGATGAAAAACTAGGGCGTTAGGGAAGAGAGGCCTGGGGACAATGTCACAGGTCACAGAGGGAAGGAGGGGAAACTGATGGAAAGTCCTCAGTGCATGTGAGAGCTAGAAAACCAACAGGTCATCAGAGTTCCTGGGAGCTCAAGGGGCCCCCAGCAGCCAGGCAGGAGGGCAGCAGCAGGGTGTGTCCCACATGCATGCACCCACGTGGAGGGGATGCAGGGAGGGCGAGCGGGGGAAGCGACTGGAGAGAAGGGTGGAGGCATGGGGCAGAGTGGTGATGGCAAGGAGGGGAAGGGGCCGAGAAGGACAAGGGGCAAAGGGTCTGCTAGGACAGCAGGAAAGGGGCCTTGGCCTGGACTCCACGGAGGGGCACAAGTTTCCAGGGGCTGAAGAGTTCTTTCCTGGTTTTTATCACTTTTCTCCTGCTGGGGTGGGGGTGGGGTGGGGTGGACCAGCCTGAGGCAGCGTAGTAATCTGAGAGGGCAAGCGTGGACCCAGCAAGGCTGGCCCTGGAGCAGCCCCACACACACCTGCAGCCCAAGGCTGGAGAAACCTACGCCCTGAGCTTCCAAGTGGGAAATCCACTTGCACAAGACTGAGAGTAGGTTCCTGTCTGTCACCCATATGTACTAAAATCAAATAAAAGTGGATCAAAGACCTAGACATAAAAACAGAAACTGCATGAAGATAACACAAGGGAAACTTAAAGCCATAGGCAAAGGCAAGGAATTTCAGAATAAGGCTTCAACAGCACGGGAAATAATATCAAGAATCAACAAATGGGATCACAACTAAATTAAAAAGCTTTTGCACAGCAAAGAAAACAGTCAACAGAGTGAACAGACAACCTACAGAATGGGAGAAAATTTTTGCCAGCTATTCTTCAGGTAGAGAACTAATATCTAGAATATGTAAAGAACTCACAAAAACCAACCACCCCAAATAAATGACCAATCAAGAAATGGGCAAATCCACTGCACAGACACTTCTCAAAAGGAGTACACATGGCCAATAAATACACAAAACACTGTTCATCATCTTTAGCCATGGCAGAAATGCAGATCAAAACAACTCTGCAGTTCCATCTTAGCCTACTCAGAATGGCTATCATCAAGAATATAAAAACCAAAAAAAAAAAAAAAAAAGAATATAAAAACCAAGGGTGAGCTGTGCATGGTGCTGCACGCCTGTGATCCCAGCACTCAGGAGGCTGTGACAGGAGGATCACTAAGTTCGAGGTCAGCCTGGGCTACATAGTGAGACCCTGTCTCCAACAAAACAAAACAAAACACCAAAAGCAATGGTGGCAAGGTTGCGGGTGGAGGATGATGCACTCCCTCCTACACTGTTGGTGGAATGTAAACTAGTACCACCACTATGAAAATCAGTTTGGAGAGTCCTCAAAATACCAAAAACAAAAATTCCACTTGACCACGCTGTAACTCTCCTGGATATATTCCTAAAAGAATTAAAACCAGCACTCTGTAGTGATAATGTGCATACCCATCTTTGTAGCAACTCATCACAACGGCTAAGCTTTGGAAACACAGCCATCGACAGATAAATGGACAGGAAAATGTGGTCCATATATACATGACAAAGTATTATTTACAAAGAAAAATACTATTATTCAAAAAGAAAAATGAAATCAGATCTTTTGCAGGAAAATGGATGGAAACTGAGACCATAAAGCTAAGTGAAATAAGCCAGACTCACGAAGTTAAATATTGCATGTTTTCTCTTTTTATAAAAACCAAAATAAGTAAGTAACAAAAAGCAGAAGGGGCCCGGGGATTTGGCTCAGTGGCGCCGTGCCTGCCTCGCAAGCGCAAGGTCCTGAGTTCAATCCCCAGTACCAAAAAAAAGGAAAAAGTAGAAGGAAGCCACTCAGGCAGGAAGGGGAGTAAAGGACAGGAGGAAAAGAGGCAGAGACTGCAAATGCTGAAGCTATGTTATATGCATGCACCAATTCTCCAAAACAAACACTATTATTCTGTATTATAAACATGTAAAAATTTCAACAAAAAGATTTTAATTTCCAATGGAAGAGAATACATGTGTTTATTCAGAAAAGAGATATACTCAAAAGGCATTGTTTTTAAATAATTTTTTTTTTACTTTCTGTGTTACTTTTCTCTCCATGCTGAGACAAATACCCGACAGCCAAAGTTAAAGAGGGAAAGGTTTATTTGGCTCACAGTTCATAGAGCTTTCAGTCCGTAATCAGCTGGCTCCCAGGCAGGGTGGCAGAGGGGCAACAATTCATGGTGGCAGATGATAAAAGCAACAAGAGACTTAACAGCGCCTTTCCGCCCTTTTTATCTTGTTCAGACTACTTAGGGCAGGTAGCACTCACACCCTTAATCCTAGTGCCCTGGAACCTAGGACTGCATCATGAATCAATTCCAGCATCACACACTCTAGATCCAGCCATCTCTGCAAAAGCCTATGACCACATGAGGCTCCGAAGGGACATCTAGACACAAACCATATTCCTTTCTACATTTCACAAGTTTTCTGCAATGAGTACACACTTCTTTTGTAACTGGGGAAAGAGGGGTCGGGAACCAAAGAGTTCTAAATAGTATATATGACTGTATCATATACACACATATAACAATGACTACAATTACTTTAAAGGCAGAAAAATTATGCATGTAAAAAGAAAAACATTAGTGGGAAATACACCAAAATAATGGGAGCTGTGTTTGAAAGCTGAAATAATTGTAGGTAACTATTTTTCCTTGTACTATATTATGCCTTGAAATTTTTTTTTTGTTTTTGTTTCTGTTTTGGTACCCACAGGACCTTGTGCTTGCGAGCAGGCACAGTGCTGCTGAGCTCCATCGCAGGCCCCTACCTTGAAATCTTTTTTTTTTTTTCCTTACCTTGAAATCTTTAAGAATGTGTATTATGTAATGCGAAAATAACCACCTAATCACCATAACCACCTAATCACCGCACTTACCCCACCCTGAGCCCACACCCTCTCTCCTGCTCCCTGGACCCTGCCTCCTAAACAAACCAACACACACACATACACACACGCACACGCGCACACGCGTGAGAGAGAACATGAACCACAAGTACTTACATGGGCTCACATCTCTGTATCTGTTTCGATTTCTGTTTTCTGGAAACTTGGCCACTCTATGAGGATAGTCATGGGACTCATTCCGAATTTCCTTAAAATGACAAAAATATATTTTAATATCTCTCAAGTTTTATTTAGCAAAACACATCTTCCAAGCCAGTACAGAAAACATTTATTAAGCACTTTTGACATGCCAAGTGGCGTGCAAAGGACACGGTCTATGTCATTTCTGATTTAGTCCTAATAACACAAACAGAAACACTACTACTCCGTTTCAACATGAGAAGTTAGACAATCTGCCAAAAATCAAAAAGCTGGCAAGTGACAGTGTCAGGACTGAACCAAGGTCCTTCAGACAAAGGAAGTCTGTGCGGTTTCTCTACTGTCAGTTCCAGCCTCTGTTCAACTCCTGTAAGCAAGGGGGAAACAGAATTAGTGCAAGGAGGCATAAGCCACATCACACTACCCAAATACTAGAGCTCCTACCTTTACATTCTTAGCTATTTCTTCATTTTCATGCCACAAAATTGTTACTTTGAGAGCAAAAAGAGCCGCAAAATTTATTTCTAAGCCACAACGATTAGTAAAATACCAGGTAAGCCTGAGGTTTGTTCAAAGATGGTGGAGGTTTTCTCTGTGTCCCACATAGAGGAACCCTAGAAGGTTTATCCACATGAAGCATCCAGCCACCTCGTGTGTCCAGTACAGTCAGCTTTTATCTCCCAAATGGAGTTTCTTTTAGCTGTCAGATGATTTATTTTATTGCCACATTTTAGATATACAATATAACATTCATCATAGGGAATCTGTACCTGTACGTGATAGATCTTGCTTTTTTCCCGCTCCCCTCCCTCCCTTCAACCCGTCTTCCCCTCCTTATTTACAAAAGCTGTTTCCATTTCATCCTTCTTTTTCTTGAACCCTCTTTCCTTCCCTCCTCCCCGTCCCTTGTTCCCCTTCTCACTTGCACACTTCCCCCCATTTCCCAATCTCTTTTATACATTTTGGTCCTTATTTCCACTTTCAGTTTCTCACACAAGAGAAACAATGTGGTATGTATGTATGTATGTATTCATTTATTTATTTTGGTACCGGGGATCAAACTCTGGTCCTTGCGCTTGCACAGCAGGTGGCGAAACCATTGAGCTAAATCCCCCGCCCCTAACAATGTGGTATTTAAATGTGTATGTGATTCATTTCACTTAAGGGTATGGTCTCAAGATGCATCCACCCAAATGGAGTATTATTTCAAGAATTCTTCAGGTAAAAACAGAAACATACCAGTCCCCAAAAAACAAAAGTGTGCTTTATCAGTAAATGTTACACTGGGCTTTTGCTCATGCTATCACATAGAAGAAAAAGCATTTTAAACGGTTATTAGAGTTTTATATGTTAAACATAAAGAATCCATTTCTTCATGAAGCTCTTACTGTGGGCTCTTTACACTCCTGTCTGAAACACACAGATCCCCCAGGATCAGTAACTTTCTAATTCCTGTCTTTACCCTTTGTACCTAGTGCAAAAGCTCTTCAATGAGTCAAGATATTCTCTGCCTATAATATGTTATACTTCCACCTAATTTCAAGCTCTAAAACTCAATTACTAGTTTTCAGTAAGTTTCTTCTTTTTCCTTTTTTTTTTTTTTTTGGCAGGGATCGAACTCGGGTCCTTGCACTTGCCCAGCAGGTGGTGAAACCACTGAGCTAAATCCCCAGCCCCTAGTAAGTTTTTTCTAGATGAGCCTGGAGAAGAGATTTATTTCCTCCTCCGTCTGCCTTTGCTTCCTTCCACTCTCTCTGGGTTGAGAGAACTTGTATTTTATAACTTTCCCTCTCCTCAAGTTTCCATTCATAGAACACAATGCCCAGGTTTCCAAACTGAACTTCCTAAGTTTTCTGGAAGTGAAAAAAATAATAATCTTCTAAGTTATAAAACATAATTATTAGTCTGAGGTGGGCAACAGGAGTTTAATTTTATTCTTTCCAAATGGGAAATCAATTTCATACTACTGATTTTTGCATTCATCAGTTAACACTTGCTCTATCATAAACCAAGTTTCTATATATGAATGAGTTTGTTTTTATATCTTCATTCTATTTCACACTGATTTATCCTTGAGACAGTGTCCAATTTTAGTTAGGACAGCTTGGTAATACATCAATACATCTGGAAAGACAAGTTGCTCCTGTTTATTCTCCCCACTTGTGTTACAGTTGATAACACTTTAATTCACTTTATAATTTTCTTCTTAAAGATGCTAAAAGTTCATTCTAAAAAAATCTTATAAGCTTTGTTGCTATTGCAAATGGGGCTTTAAAAACCTTTGCTGATCATTGCTAGTGTATAGGGAAGCCTAGAAAAACCCTCTTACTTGTGTACACTCTAACAAATGGTTATGACACTGCAAAAAATAAAATAAAAAGAGGGAGGGCCCCAAGTGAAGGTGTAGGGAAGATTTAAAATCTGGAAAACATAATAGGACAACCACATCTTGTTCCAAGTCCTCAGCTTAAGAAACACAACATAATACTGTTATAAACACTATTTGCTCTTCATACCGTTCCTTAATTTCGGTGACTTTATGAAGACAAGAAAGCCCAATGCTTTTTAAAAAGCAGCTCCCAGAGACACTATCGCACTCTCCATGTTTCTGTACTGAATGTTTCTCACTTGATTTTCTTACACAGAGTGAGCCCAACTAATACCCATTTCCCCCACCTTGCTCACAGCTAAGAACAGTCCCAGGACACACTCCAGCCGATGGGCTGCAGCCAACAGCTGAAACAAGGACAGAAGCCAACACAGTGGCGCACACCTGTTGTCCCAGCTATTCGGGAGGCTGCGGTGGGAGGATCACTTGTGCCCATATGTTCAAGACCAGCCTGGGCAACGTGGCAAGAACCACTTCAAAAAACAAACCACCGCCGGGGATTTAGCTCATAGTTCCGGCGCCTGCCTTGCAAGCACAAGGTCCTGAGTTCAATCCCCAGTACAAAAAAAAAAATAAGCTTTGCCTCGGGGCTGGGGACTTAGCTCAGTGGCGCTGTTGCCTGCCTTGCAGCCACAAGGTCCTGAGTTCGATCCCTGGTACCGCAAAACAAACAAACAACAACAAAAAAACCACCAACAACAATAAAAACAAACCCACACTGGCTCAGCAGGCCCTTGTCCTCATTTGGATCTGCCTGGAACACAGGTTTTAATGTCCAGGGCTGAGAGCGAAATAGGCAGGAGCCATCCTGAAGAACACAAGGTTAAAAATACATTCCAAGAAAGCTAAGCAGAAACTGAGGGACAGGTCATCAGTGGTGGCATGGAGTTGCAGTAGCAGTCCTGACCTCCATTCTCCAGAATTCTCATCACCTGAGAAACATAAGCTCCTAACTATTAAGTCAGTTACTATAGTCTTTCCACACTGCTAAGCATGTCTCTAACTAATACATACAGGATTACCAAATGTCAACAATAACTACATCGGACACTGATAAGGCATTCTGAGCAATACCCAAAATACAAGTAATTTTACAAGCACTTTGTATGAGCAATAAAATACATGATGTTTCTCAATACAAGACTGGGAAAGCAAGGAGCTGGGCTATTCACTGGGTCTACCATATATAGTACTGCAAAACCAGCTCTAAGGGGCTAAGACTTTCCCTTCTAGCAGACAGAACCCATAAACAGTGCTCCTAAATACCACACTGAGACTATCTCCTGTCAACAGTAAAACTTGCTAATCCAGGGTTTCTCAATCTTGGCATCCTCAACATTTCAGGTGAGACAATCCTTCATTCTGGGGGGCTATCTTCTGTACTGCCTGATGTTCAACAGCAGCACCCCTGTCCTCTCCCCAGTAGTGGTCAGTCATGTGCCTCCTCCTCTCTCTGACAACCAAAATTCTCTCTAGAATGGCAAGGTCCACCACAAACATGCCCACCAACACCAGATGAAAACCATTGATCTAGTATACTAACAAGCCATACTTTAAACTAAGTTTAAATGACCAGAGGGCAGGTGTAGTGCTCCACATATATAATCCCAGCACTCTGGTAGACTGAGGCAGGAAGATGGTAAATTTGAGTCCACCCTGGGCAATTTAGCCAGACACTGTCTCCAAATAAAAAATAAATAAGGGATAGGGATGTAGCTCAGTGTAAAGACCCCAGGTTCAACCAGTACTGCAGGGGTGGAAAGGGTGTCTTTGCTCTGAAGTATAATTTAACCAAAAATTTTAAGCCCAGTTTCTGTTTAATATGATTTTTGCTCAACAAAAAGTAAGGAATAATTCAGTGGTGCCGCCAGCTGCCTGGCAAGCACAAGGTCCCAAGTTCGATCCCCAGTACCAAAAAAAAAAGTAAGGACTAATTCAGTCACTAGCTATTTCTTGTACTAGCAATGATCCAAAACATAAGCAACTGATACACAAAGATTTTTCACAGAATTTTTACAACACTGAAAAGCTAGAAATAAGTTAAGTGACTAATGGCAGAGAAAAGATGGGTTGAATAAATCATGGTATCTTCAAATGAGTATTATGCAGCCATTCAAAAAACAGGCTCTTATATTATGTCAGGGGTAGCAAAAACTTGTATAGTCTTGGGCTGGGGATTTAGCTCAGTGGTTCCGTCGCTTGTCTTGCAAGCGCAAGGACCCGAGTTCGATCTCTGGTACCAAAAAAAAACCAAAAAAAACTTGTATAGTCTCTTGGGAAGGCAATGTATGATATAACAAAGGTGCTGTATGATACAGCAAATGGGACTGAACCATTATATGCTATTTGGAAAAAAAAATCCACTTAGGTCATTAGCTGTATTTGAAATTTATACGAACACATGACTTGCCCATGTTAAGAAAATCTACCATCAATTCTAATTCAAGGCATGTAATCAGAGAAATGAATACATATGTGTAGACAAAAGCATGTGCCCAAACGTTCACAGCAGCATTTACTCACAACAGCAGAATGTAAACCCCCCTCAACATCCATCACCGACAAGTAAGAGGGGTATATACATCTATCATGTCTATCTATAAGAAGGAATGAAGTAATGACGCCTGCAGCAACGCAGGTGAATCCTGAAAGTATTCTTC